TTTTTCTGCTTATAAGGCCAGGTTATATCTGTTTGAACAGATATGGTTTTAGAAGAGACTTTAACTGCACTTGCAAAAGACTTCCCTTCAGATGGAATGGGAAAAAGTGCAGTCAAATCTACCTGTTTTCGAGCATCAAAGTATGGTATTTTCCGCTCTGACATAACCTGTTGGATTCTCTTCTCTTTCTGCCATATTGGACATTCACGGGAATAAGCAAAGTGCTTTCCCTTACAATTTACACAACAAAACTCAGCCTGGCAGGTAGCGCTATCATGGCCTTCATGGCCACAACGAGCGCAGGTGTCTTTACCTCTGCAGACAGTTTTGCTGTGTCCAAACTTTTGGCACTTGTAGCAACGAAGAGGGTTGGATATGTAGGAATCCACAGGTATGTTTAAATAACCTGCCTTGAGAGTCTTTGGTATGTCGGGACGATTGAATGTGAGGATGTAGGTGCTTGTTGGAATCACCTTATCTCCTCGACGAACACTAATTCTTTTGACGTGTTGTACACCTTGAGAAGAAAGGTATTCTACCATTTCTTCCTCACTGCTGCCTTCAAGGTCCCGGCAACGTATTACACCTCTACTAGAATTTAAAGACCTATGGGGAGACACCTTAATAGGAATGTCTGCCAAAGACGATGATTTAAGGAGCATGGTAGCATGCTGTTCTTTGGCACATTCTATTAAGAGTGTCCCGTTCTTTAGTTTTTTAATAGCCTTGGGCTCACCGGCCAAGCCAGCTTTTGTCTTTCAATTGTTGGGGTTGGGGGGATTGGGGAATCCATGAAGTAATTTTTTTATGATTCACCCCTCGTCGTCCCCCAGGTTACTTCCCTGCCTACCAGGGGGAGGACTAGCGCGGATAACCTGCGCATGGCCTCAGGGCTCGACGAGGGGTATACTCAAGCCAGAAAGTAAAAAACTTTTCTAACCTGATTGACCCAAGCCGCCGCTCTGTACAATGTACTAGGACACAAAGGTAGTCATTGCTGAGTGAATAAACAACAGAGCATTAAACTGGGAAAGGGTACATCCTACAGAGCTAAAACGACCAAAGCCGATTGATCAGAGTGGGCCACTCTGACCTCCCGTCTAGGTGAACCATGGGCCAAAGTAATGTGTTGCAGAGAAAGGGCTCGCAAGCCAAATCCCCACTCAATTACCAGGATTCCACTCTCCACCGACACGGGTCGCAACGCACGGCAAACACGTTGCCCCATTACAGGGATCCTTTTAGTCGCCTTTTACGACACGCAGGACATACGAAGGGTATATTCTTATCACCCCCTACACCCCAGGGGGGAGCAGTGGGAGGAAACCGGGCTTAAGATAAACAGGTCATTGACACCACCTATAAGCAATGGATCAAATATTTTACTTAAGCTTCTATTTAACCCCATTGAATATAAACCGGGGAATTATCTACCGTGGATATCTGTGTTTTGTTTTCTTACTTATATGTTAAATGATCAATTTGATTAAATTTTAACGTGGAATGAATCATGAAACATTAGCCCGTAACAAGAAAATGATGACCAGCGTCTATAAAGGACAGCTGGGGGGACTAGTATAACAAATTTCATGCATTTTGTTATACTAGTCCCCAAGCTGTGTTTTAATAACTTTATTTAAATTCCGCAGTAGACGTCGATTAAAGGAATAACCTCCAAAATATGAATTTTAAAGAAATTAACTGGCCATTCTGCACACAGAGAACTATCTACTTTGAGAATAGATCTCTGCCCTGAATGACTGCCATAGTCACAGAATATTATTCTATTTTATAACGAGGTTTTAATCCGTTTTACATCTTTCATACATACAAAATCGTTGATTTAGGAATTAAAATGTCGGTCAACAATACTTCGTGTCTGTTGTCAAACGAAGCTAATTGTAGACAGACAGTATGATTAACTAGTTGTTGACTTTACAAGACTTTGTATTCCCCTTTTTTCCAGTTTTAACTGTGATTCCAGAAACCGGTACGTCGTTAAATCGAAAGACAAGCTTTGAACTTTGTGTAGCCTTTTAATACGTTTTCTCCTTGCAAATAATACAATAAACTATTTGTCCTTTTATTGAATTGTATTATACCCAAAGTAAGTTAACTCTCATCGTCATTGAAAATATTTCCAGAAAGCAAACATGGACTGTCAGCACACGTCTGCGTTCTGAATACACAACTGATAAATTTCTTTCTGTAATATTTCACTTTTTCGGATTGCCTAACTCATAAATACGTTATAAAAGACGTTTGCGACAGAATTTTCACTTTTTGTCATTTTTCATGACATTATTCTTTGAAAGCATTTCTGGAAGCTAACCGCGAAGCCGGCTCGTGTTGATTGATTGAGAAATCTTGAATAATACACAAATTGAGTTACATTAGTCGAAATGGTTCTTTCTGCCCATTACTGGATGAAAATCAATTAGCGAGATGAAAGTGTCAGAAAAATTTCACATGTTTATATATGTTTATTGATTGATTTATCAATGAAGCCAGCCTACCGTGTCTATATATAATTATCTACTTTGACATACTGTCATTCAAAACCATCTTTATCAGATTGGACAAGAAATGGGTGCCTAATGACATCTTCTTCATATTAAAGTCAATAGTTTGACCAGATAATTTCGATTTAGCATAGCTTGTTTAAGTCACTTGTCATGTTAACTGTAAATCTCCCATCACTGGTTGTTAAAATCAAATCATTATTCGTGTATTTTTACAATATATCCTGTTGTCAGCTTTGGTAAATAATATTGTATACACGTGTATTAGTGAAACATTCCTCGATATGATTCGATTATTTTATAAGAGCCAAGCTTTTAATTGCGGATTATGACATGCGATCTATACTTAACACATACTTAATTATATCGATTTTCTCTTCACGTAGAACGTATACACTTGTAATCTAATAAAAATCAAAGAGCGATCAATCTGATAATATTCAAATTCTATATTAATCTGAAAATGAATAATGCTCATAGATCCGTTATCAAAGAGAATTTTAATTAAAATGTATCCTGTATTGGCTAGATATAAAAAGTGGGGACGGATTAAATGGGGACTGACTGGGGTTGCAAATAAGTTTTAAAAAATTGGGCACCATCAAAGAAATATGTCATTTATTATGTTGTGCCAAATAAATCTGTCAATCATGTGACTGTGACGGGTAGAAACCAGAATATGCCCTCTTTCACTGTTGATGCAATGGTATCAGTAACATATTCAGCCATAGGCCCCACGCAAGCTTAATCTGGCTACAGGATAACTCTCTCTCTCTCTCTCTCTCCCTCTCTCTCTCTCTAGAACACCCGATACCGAGTCTTGGTAGCTGTTAGTAGTGATTGCCCTACAGTTACCTTCTACGTTACAAATGTTAAACAAAAACCTATATAAGTTGTATCCAGTCTTTTAGAAAGAGTAAGCATACCATGTGATTTTACAAAACACCTGTCACTATTTGAAGTAACCGCAGCGTTAAGCAGATTAACAGATTTAGTGAAACCATACTTGAGAAGTAGTATAAGGTGTTCTAGAAATAGTGAGCATACCCTGCTTCGTGTACAATACCCCCCCCCCACACACACACACACTATTCAGAACCTACCGAAATTCAATTCTGCATATCTATATTTTCGTTATACGTAATGACAGGTGTTGTGTATGAGACAAGGTAGGCTTACCATTTCCACAACACATGGTACCCATTCTCCAGCATTTAGAACGTTCGCATAGCTAGTATCGCATGCCACAGAGTATGCTTACATCATGCCAATTTTCGTATGTCTTAGATGTTCGCATCTATATAGCTAGTAATATCTGTTGAAATGTTTTTGTATTGCTCATTTATCCCATATGTTCGCATAGGTAGCAATATCAGTTGAAATGTTTTTGTATTGCTCATTTATCCCACTCATATGTTAGCATAGCTAGTAATGTTTGTTGAAACGTGTTTGTATTGTTCATTAATCCCATATGTTAGCATAGCTAGTAATGTCTGTTGAAACGTTTTGTATTGCTCATTTATCCCATATGTTCGCATAGCTAGTAATGTTTTTTGAAACGTGTTTGTATTGTTCATTAATCCCATATGTTAGCATAGCTAGTAATGTCTGTTGAAACGTTTTGTATTGCTCATTTATCCCATATGTTCGCATAGCTAGTAATGTCTATTGAAACGTTTTTGTGTTGCTCTTGTATCCCATATGTTCGCATAGCTAGTAATATTTGTTGAAACGTTTTTGTTCGGCTCATATATTTCATGTTATGTTCTCATAGCTAGTAATGTATGACATAGAGTATGCTTTCATCATATTAGTTCTCGTATATCCAAGATGTTCGTATAGCTAGTAAATGTTTGTTGAGATGTTTTTGCATTGCTCTCAGACGACTAGAGTTTCGAAAGATGAAAATATCGAAATTAATACGTTTGACCAGAAACACCCCGCCAATTTATACAGTCTATCACGGCGTTTGTTATGGGAAATGGTATCGCGGGCTGCAAAACCTCAATCACCAAATCCAGTCCCTGTGCAGAAATGCGCATTGTAGCCTGTTGTCTATATAGAAGCTGGTTGTAATTGTTAAGATCTCTGGTCGTGTTATGAGAGAAGTTATTGGCCCTTTGGGTATACTATCAATAACAACCGTTATAATATGACCAAATTTATCTATAGCATCACGGTGCAGTTTAAATGTTACTCCCAATATTTATAGACACACAGATGCTGTAAATTCAATCATATCATAAAACCTCGAGGCTTTCAAGTACAACAACTTATTTATATGGTTATCGATATATATGATATAAATATATATAGTCTATGCTATATGTGCGTGCTAATTAAGAACAAATGTATAAAGCTGGGATTATATCAGAAATATTTTATAGATTTGCGAATCATATCCACCTCAAATAATCTTCTTACATTAATGACAAATTATTGACAATTTACAGACGTTTTCAGCTATGGCGTGAACTTCTAAAATACATGCTGATTGGCATTCGGTGTTCTAGAAAGATCGAGCTCTCTGCCTCGTGTACCACTAAATGATAATGTAGTCGGGTTTACTCAAAGTATGAATTTTGGTTTGTGAAGTTTCACCTGGAATTGTCATGGTTATGTATATGTAGATTTAAAAGTATAGTGATGTAGACTTTATATGGCGTTTTTATTTCGATATGGGAAATATTGCCCTTACTCTTTGTTTCAATCAATCTCATTTGATTCTACGGAAGTTTATCTAGAGTTTCTGTGGTTTATAAGAGCATGCAAGTGTAAGCATACATAAGCCAGTCGAACAAGTACCTCGCTGTAGAAGGTACCAATTAGTACCACAAGTCGGATGTCCAGATTCCAATAAGTATAATTAATATTGGCTGCCAGACAAATAAAATTATTTGGATTCCTTTAAAGATAAAATAAATCTATATCTTATTTTATTCTTTTTGCAGGAAGCCCATGGAAGATGTAAGATCGAATTGAACACCGATAAGGAACGACTATTTGTTAGTGAAGTGGTGTTACAGTATTTAAACAACGCCGAGTTCTTCACTTGTTATCGTCTGCTTTCTGTGTACAGACGAACCTTTATGGCAGCGGAACACCACACAGATTGGTGACGTCAGGAGTATCCAATTGCTCAATTTGATGATGTAACCAGAAACTGTGACAATTGATGATCCGGTGTCTATCATTCTAGAAAAAGTCAAATAACACAGCGATATAAATGTAGTCGCGCCGTCACGCTAACGATTTCTAAAACAAATTGAAAAACCAAATAAGGGAAAAAAGAGACCAATCTGGAATTTTGTGAGTAGTTAAGAGATTCCAGAAGATCGAAGGAAAAGCGTCATTGATTTTTAGATAATGTTTTAATGGACAGGTGTAGTTAATAACTTTGATAGAACCAGACAAAAACAACAAGAAACACATTAAACATCATGTTTTAACTCAGATGATCACAATAGGAGAACAATGCTGATAATGGAATGGTTAGTTATTCTTTTTGGAGGTACGTACCATATTATAGAATGAATTGCAGTTGCCAATTCCTTTGCAGATTTTTTAATATTATAATAATTATTATCATTATTATTATTGTTATTATTATTATTTATAACGTATTTATTTATTATTTATTTATTATTTTAAGAGACAGATACATTCATAATAATGGGGGAAAATTATAAACAAAAAATACAAAATGATTGAATTTTATGTCATGAACGATCTGCTTCGATTCTTAATGATAATCATTGTGGTCCTTTTGTGGCAGATCAGGTCATGTCATAACTGAGGACAGGTTCTCTGTAAAAATTATATTGATATGAAAATACATATTTTATATGATATTTTATATCAAATTTCAGGAGTAACACAGGTAGAAACACCTGTTCGCTATTTCGTCTTTCGGGGTGATCAAGTCACGAATCTTAGTTAGGCCCTTATAAATTAGGAATTTTATTAAACATTCATGTCTTGTTAAAATAAAGGCCTGTTTGTATAGAAATATAAAATGCTAAAGTCAGCACATAAAACCCTTTTAAATGTTTGGCCCTTTCATAGCTTCATATGGTCGACAGTTGGTGTGTGGGGCGACACGGCCACGCATTTTAGGCCGGTTTGTCTTTTAAACAGAAAAGGAAATGATTCACTGTCAATTCGAATTAAATGTTCTTTTTTGAAAAAAAAGGCCTTTAATGTCCTACTGTTCTGCTCCGGCTGGGTTAACGAAGATGGGTCATTTTTTAAAGTCAGAACGAAATTCTAATTAAATTTGGGGTACATGGGTCGTTAATAAAACGATTGTCAAATCACGGATAATTAGAAGCTTTTGTCAAAATCAGTTTCTTTAACATTATGGCGTCTGAGTGATCTATTTGTGTCCAATTCCGAAAAAAAAATTGCATGGTTGGAAAAGTTGATAATTGAAAGACATAAAAATGGATGAAATGGTAGATTAATTTCAGTATTGCTTCAATACAATCATCGATTCGAGTAGTGTAGAAAAGTAATGAAAGAAAAATATCGATATGTAAAGAAGTAAATGGAGGAGTAGACTTACTGTGAAGCATAAAAGGATTATACCTCTAACAGATTTCCTTAAATAAAAGGCCCGGAAGACCGAGTCATTCAGTTCAAACAAGTAACAAGCGCGAAACATCTTTAGTAGTCGTTGAGTTAACGTCAGGAACAAGAGTGGATTGTTTTGATATAAAAGAGATAGATTTGTGTATGTGGCGACTACAAGGATCCAATCTAACGGTACTATATTATCTTGACCTTCAGTATCAATATTTACACGTCATTATTCTTTATTCGTATAGACCGTGAAAGTAGTGCAACATTAGTTCCATGAAAAATTAACACCCGTGTACGTTCGAGTTAAAACTTTTATAAATGGCTATAATTACCAACTTTATTTTTATGGATTTTTGTCAGTGTTCATCTTATGCTATCGAGCACAAAATAACAGTTTTGCCAAAGTAAACCAACGGAATAATTTCAACAGTTTAGCTTATGTGAACATTAAATGCAATGAAGCAGTTTTATAAATGTCTGGGTTTGGGACCTTTATTGAGATTCCGCAATCTTTGTACATTAGCAGGAGCCACCAACTTGTCCGTCCTTCCATGTTTAGGTGGTACGCAGACCGAAGGCTTCCCACAAAAGTATAAAAAGTTTCAGATCTAGCTAGAAGAACCCAGAAGAAACGAAATAAAATGGGCTAATGAAGACGGGCATACACCGTACTTTCAAAGGTTCTTTCACGTGCACGCCAATATGTACACAGGACCCCGGAAACCCAGAAGAAGAACATCGGAAATATCGATAGAACGTAATAGCCTAGGTCATCCTTGTGTCAATGCCCACGTTAGACGATCTTCCATTTTTAAATAATGGCGAGCTAATCTGACTTATTCACATTTACACCGTGTCTGTTCCCATGGGGACACCGATTTAAGAGATAGTTCAAATAGAAAAAATACTATAGACCAAAGTTCAACTAATTACCTTCCAAAATGCATGTGTTTAAATTTACATTATTTTGTAACCGTAAACCACGTTCTACTGCAGATGAACAAGATAATGGCCATTTCTATTCATGTGTTGTCTTTAAGACTATTGATTTGTAAAATGGCAGGGAAACCTAATTATTATACACAAATAACTTACACAGTCTTTAATTTTTGAAATCAAGATCAAACACGTAATCTAAGACCAGAAAGTATACTTAAAGAAGGATACATCATGGTAATAAATGGGTACTGGCGATCAGAATGGCTGGAAAACACGAACCAATGCCATATATTTTCGCAGCACTGGCCAAGTACTGAAGATATACTAGCGGCAAGAGTATTGGTTTCCAATTGAATTCATTCGCCAATATGATATGATCAACACTGACAGACTTCATTTGAGAAAATAAGGTTATTTTTGTATTTATAAATCGAGCGAAGAAAATAACTAATATTATTGATGAATAACACAGACCGGTGCAATTGCAATTAAAGTGAAAGAAGGAGAGGGTGATATTGGTTGAGATATTGTATCGGAATATCGACACACATTGATATCATAAGGCGAAAACAGCTTGCTATTATAATATCAATGCTAAATCTAATTAAGCACTAGTAATTCAGGAAATAATCAGCGAAATAAGTTATTATTCATAATTGCATTTAAGGTGCATGCATAAAGAAAGTTATTAATAATTGTTCTCTGAAATATGAATGGTACATTGTTAATTCCATAGGGCATAATTCAATACTGAATTGTGTTATGCAATTACTCGCTCCAGTTGTGTATTACGAATTGTTTCATGTTGCTTTTGAAATGTCAGTTGCGATTATATCTTCAAATTCATGATTTTATGAAATTTAGAAATGAATTATTGATATATCAAGAAATCGGTAATAGTTTGTTTCGACGTCGATATAAATATATTTATTGATAGAAAGGTCATTTTGTATGGGAAACGGAACTCGTCGTAAAATGATTTCTAGAATTTATTATTTCTTTTCCCGACAGGGTTGTGCGGTTTCCTTGATTTACTAACCTCATAACAAGAAAAAGTGTTTTTGAATCATACCAGAATTGCTAGAAGGACGTGAGAAGAATTTTCTCAATCGCTCTAAACCATGTTTTACAGGCTGAAGAAAGGTTGACACGAACTGACTTTAATCACGATACTTTCCGATATCCTTCTTTACAATTTCATTTAGAAGACCAAGTGCTTCTTTAAAGAGAGGAAAAAAACGCGAATGATTCCCAATCAGTCATTTTGGTTGTTTTTAAGCGAACATGACAAGAAACTAATACCAGGTCTTGTTCGGGGGCTTTGTGTCTATTTGTGGCTATAGTTCTCACTGATTTCCAATTTTATTTATGATTCAATAGCGGATATAAGAAGAACTGTAAAAGGGTATCGAATCAGTCATAATGATTTCACAGGGTCGTAATCAATTTTGTCATTTTTGTTTCATAACATGTTTAAAGTCGGGCTTTACACTCGGCTTTGATCGTAATACAGTTAGTCTTAATCATATTCGCTTATTCAATCAACTTGGCACATTGCAGTCCAATATGTTGTATTAATCGAATGGTTGCTTTGAGGCAATCGCACAGATAGTGCGTCTTATTGAATGTGCACACATCCTTCAACTGGAGGCGACAGCGTCTTATACAAGAAATGATAGCATTTGAAGAAAAAGGAAATGCGGCGCCGATAAATACCGTGTAGCTTCCTAGTTAAGTTCTTCGTGGACTCTGATATTATCTTAGTTAATCTTTTAAAAGGCATTCTTCATTTTGGCATTCTGAATTTTATCTTGCATTTGTTTAATTGTACGTACAGAACGTATTTAACCGAATAGGCTTAGATCTCAGATATGTTGTCTAAATTTAAACCTTTTATACCCGCAACTGTAGTCATTGCCGATTTATCAAAGAATGATAAATATTTATTTTACGGTGTACAAAACATGCTGTCACTGAAGTAATCATATCAGATCTATAACCGTGGTATTTTGATTCCCAGGATGAGTGTCGAATCGGTGTGCCCTTGAATATCACCCCTTTCCAATCAACGCAACTGTAATACCCCTCTATTCCTCTGGCGCATGGGGGTTGGATGGCCGAATGGTTAGCACGTGCGCGATGTATCATAAGGCATGTCATTGAGTCAACTGTCGGGGTTTTGAATCCTCGGTTGTACGTGACAAGGAGTAGGGTTGCCTGTCCAACCTCGTGGGTTTTCTCCGGTTCCTCCGGTTTCTTACCACTGCTAAAGACCCCTACGCGCAAGCGAATTATTGAAATAAAATTAAACCATATGTTAGTCACGAAATGACCTACTCTGTGTCGAGTGGACGTTAAACCCCATTTCTCTCTCTCTCTCTCTCCCCTGGCGCATGTTTGGCTTCATTGGCCTGGTTGGTGCAGAAAAGTGAAACGTCTTGAGACTGGGCGCAAGTTCCTCTATTATTTTATGGTTATCAATACACGGTTAGGTCTAAATATTAGGGCCACCGGTAGATTTCTTAAAGGTCACAAGATGTAAACAGGGCTAGCACTAAGCCTAAGGTTCAACCAACACACCCCATGCCTAGGTTGGCAAACGTCCAGTTCTCTTACCCGCAGCCGCCTTCTTTCTATGAAATGCAAACTATTGTAATCTTTTGAGAACGAAAACACCGCTTCCAAATTAACGCGCTGTTTTGATAACAGAAGGCAGAGATAATTTCCATATTGATGGATTTAAAACAGTTTATATTATCATGAAACAAGTCTAGTCGTCTACACCAAATATATACCACTAATCTTTCAAATAGACATCTATCTATCTACGTCCAAGTCAGTTCAAATCAATGACGGATTGCAAATAGACTATATCGGAAATCACGGCCTCTCTAGTATCACCCAAATCTTAACTTCTAATCTTTCCTTCTGGCTAAAAGACCATTGCGTTGTAATTGCTAAAAGTCTCATTTTGAAATTGAGTGCATTAAT